ATTTTATTTGGATTTTTTTGACATATTATTGACATTTTAATCAGTTTAGAATATTAAAAATGTTGAGAATATAATTTTGAATGTTAAAAATGTTGAGAATAATTATTAGAGAATTTTTAAAGTTTGAAGCTTAACTTATAAATTAAGAATTTTATACAATTAAATTAAATTAGAAATTTAGCTAAAATATATAAGCTTAATTAATTAATTAAAAGTTTTATATTAATATGTGTTCATATTAATTATGTAGATTAATTATTGGTTGAGTATGGGATTAACCTTGTGATAATCCTTTTTATTATTTGGCAAGAAGTGACTACTTTCCATTTGTTATATATGCTCATATGTTATTTGTGAGTATTTTGTTATTTAAGAATGATGATGTGCTATTTGAAACTCAAGTAGATATATTATACTTTTAAGTTATGAAAATTGTCTTATAGGACTTTTGGAATTGTGACTGAGCTGTTTGAAAAAATATATAATTTATGTTATGGATTATATTGAGAAAAGATTGAAATATCTCTCATTATATTTCAAAAGATTGGTTTTTATTTAGATTTTGAGTTGAGTCCTGTGCTATCACGTGATAAGGCTGTCATTGGTGCACATTAGTTGGTTTCCTTCATCCCCTATAGTGAGGGATATGCCTTTGTGGCTTCTTATTCGTCCCTCAAAATGAGAGATAGACTTATGTAGTTTGTGTATTAGCCCCGTGGTGAGGGTTTGGATGGTTAATATTATCTTTTTTTTTTTTTAGCAAAGAGATTATCTTAATATATGTGTTTTATGTTTCTATTGATATATCTATATTTCTTGAGAATTAATTACTGTCTCATTTGACACCCCATAAGCACATGTTAATATGTATGATGAGTTGGAAAGTTAGTTACTGAAGCTTTTATCTCACCTCATGGTTTCTACTATCTTCAGATGATAATTCAGATGATGATCTATCAGGAAAGGCTACGGGGGCTAGGTATGCTGTATAGCTTGTATAGCCTCCCTTCTTTTTTTTTTTTTATGTGCAGATTGATTATATATTTCCATATATGGCTCATCTACTTTGATATTGCAAACTAATACTTTTGATTACTGCTATGTTATTTGATGGGAGGGCCATTAGAAGGCCAAAGGCCTCTAAAACTTTGCATGTTACACTCTTTTGAAAGTGTTGACTTTGATCAATGGACTTCATAACTTATTTTAAAATGATTTATCAGTTTGTATATTTGAAAGTATAAGTTTTGTTTGGCCTAATAGTTGATGGTATTTTTAGACTTTGGAAGTTCAAGGCCCAAAGTTAATAATTGATGCTATGTGATATAAGTTATTCTTTTAACCATGATAATAGTTTTATAATTTTAAGGTTTTTTTTTTTCTATCATAGTTAATCTTTTAAATAAATTATTTGATTTAATCTAAATGAGTTTTTGGAAGAATAGTCATCACACTCCCAGCCTTGTGAATTATCATGTTCATCTTCTTCAATTTAACTAGTTCACTTGCAAATGAATATATTCTTGTTGTTAATATATGTATTTGTCTTGCAAATTTTCCAATTCTAGTTGTCAATATGATGGCCACATTTCAAGAACATGAAGTTGTTAATTAATATATCCTCGTTACAAATTGCCTAATATCATGAAGTTGTACTCATAATGCATATTCCTTAAAACTGAAATTGTACAAATTCTTCGTACACAAATTTGAACATATTCTAAAGTAGTTTAAATTATATCTTGGATAGATATATAATAACTACTATGTCATTGCTTTCTTTTCAGTTGTTCCTTTATCTGTTGAAATAGTTTTGGATCAATAGCTAACTTCGTATTTCTTCTATGAGTAACTAACTACAGCAATAACTCAGACTTTAGTGCACTGTGTTGTTCCTATAGCATAAGGATAAGAACTATCAATACATTTACACAGGTGCAACAATAAAAACCCAAAATAATGAATGAAGTTGTAAACATTTAATACCACTGCCACTAGCCATATATAATATGTTGTTGCACATCATTCAAGTACTAATTTTAATCAATTTTTAATAATTAAACACAGTATATGTTTACAATAGGAGTTTGCAAATTTATAACAGAAATACAAGTTTTCACAATACCAAATCACCATTTCTATGGACAAGTGAAATTTGTAAATTCACAATACAATTCATGATAGGAACTGAAAGACACACCCTTAATACTCAACGGTGTGACTCTAAACTCAACCAACTGAATAATTCTATCTCAAATCTTAGTAGTAAAAAAATTTCTCACTGGTTCAGAACACCACGACAGCTCAAACTAGACTCATAAAATACACAATAGAAGAAATGGAGAAGGATTTTGTGCACATTTTAAACACAAGAAAGAGAAATAGATCCATATGGCTTCTCGTCCTGTTGATTCCGTCTCTTCAACTATGAACAAATCTGCATCATGTATATGCACATACCACAATTCAGCCGTGATTACTTTGTCTCAGTGGATATCATATTGCACCAGTAGAATAGCAGCACAATATGGACCAAGAATGAAAATATCTTGTGCTTATAACAGTACTATTTTAGCTTTGTGGCCCATTGAATAGATTTGCATAAGTTGGCTCCTCAAACTGCACTCTTCCACCTGAAAAGCAAGCCATATTTATCGTAAATTCAGAAGAAAACTGATACACGAGGGAGCCATATGCGCACATTCAACCTTTATCTTTCTATACAAAATAAACTCCTAAAGGTAATTACAAATAAATGATTGTAAAACTCACAAATTCCCTAAGTAATATAAATAGAGAAGATGGAGAGAGGAGAACTTTGTGGGTAAGAGAACCATCAAAGACAAGACAAGAGAATGTGAAACAAGAACGTTGAGAGAACATAGCACAGAAAACACAGACCAATTTTCATAAGGTGGAGAAAATTTGGTTTTTATTATGAGAGTAAACCCTATTAGATCTTTTTTTTTTTTTTCCCTTCTTCAACCATTAAGGGAATCTGGGCATTTTACTTCTCAATTTAATTGATTTTGCCCCAAAAAACTGCAGTGAAATTTCAGAATTGTTTGGTCCTAAATGAAAATTATGTTCCCACAAAGGTCCTTTAATGAAAACTTCCCCTAAATTAATTCATCTAATTGAATTTATTTTATATTTCATATTTATTATTTCTCACTAAATTAATTCACCTAATTTATAAACCAAAATATAATCTTATAGGAATATTTTAGGAAGATCGTGTCAACTTTGGAGGGTGACATAGTCTTCCTGAATATAAAACCTCAATTAACTTTGTCTATCATATTTTTATCATTTTTCCCAAATTAATTTACATAATTTATAAATTGATATATAATTTAAGATCATATAGAGATATTTTAGAGATAACATATTAGGTATATTATAATTAAATAATTTGTTCAACTCATTGAATATTGTAGGGGGTATTCTATATGTGAAGTAAGATCTAGCTTAGTATTTGCAAGCTGCAAAAGCGAAAATAAAACCCAACAAACAGCCCCACCCCACTGGTTTTGTGATGGCCACACATTGAATCCACAGCCTCACCTCACTATCTGGGGACAAACAGTCCAAGATAAGACGCTTGTGGAGACCTCATGCCCTCTCCCTTCTCACTTATCTTCAAAATCTAATCCAACGCTTCGTATTCATCTCACAGAACCAGTCAGCCACAAGTGATATATTATCATTGTTGGCTATTAACCTCCCCATTTTTGTAATTTCTCTGAGAAAGCAGGTTTTGTAGTTCAAAGCTTAGCTCGGGGCATTAAAACATGGCTTCTGTGATCATGTCATTTGCTCCGGCCACCACGAGAGTGTTTGCGACGGCGGCGGCAAAGGGCGCAGGCGGCGGCAAAGAGGAGAAAGGTCTTCTGGATTGGATTTTGGGAGGCTTGCAGAAGGAAGACCAGCTGCTTGAGACTGATCCTATACTCAACAAGGTGGAGGAAAAGAGTAGAGGCACCAACAGCGGTGGCGGGAGAAACTCTGTCGCCATGCCCCAAAAGAAGAATGGTGGCTTTGGAGGATTGTTTGCCAAGAAATGATGACAAGGCCTCAAATTGCCCGCTTTATTGTTCCTCTGTATTATGCTTTTGACCATTATTTTTGCATCCCCAACTTATGTTTATTCTTTTAAGGATATTGCTGCATGCTGATTTTGGTCTTCTTTTCAGACAGTAAATTGAAATTTAAACTGGTCCCTGTTAAATATGTTCAAATGACAATGTGTAATAGCAAAAACTGCAGTTCATTTAGAGGACTAACAGAGAAGCTAAACGGTGCTAATTAACTATGTGCAGAGGATCCAGCTCCTCCGGTTAGTGCATGTGGAAATTCTTTAATTAATTTGGATAAATTAAGAAAGTTAATTAACTTGCTTCATTTTAACAAATTTGACCTGATCTCCTGTAATATTAGATTATATATTATTTTATGAGTTTGATAAATTAATTTAGAAAAAATAAATATAAAAATAAAGTAGATTAAAAGTTTACATTTTTATCAAAACTAACTCACTAACTATCTTTTATATTAAGGGGTATTTGGAATGCTTAGAAAGAGTGTGTTTAGTTTTGGTATCCCTAATGGTTATAGAGATTTTCAACATGAAACTAAATGCATTAGTCAAATAAATATAAATATGAAATGGACACATACAATGCTCTCAACCTTGTAAATTGTTCATCAATCGATTAAGATAAGATAACATTTCTCTTTGCTTAGATAAATGGTTTAAACAGATTGCAGAGTAACTTTTGGTGGCTTATGTATATAGAACCATAACTTAATCACACAGTTAATCTGTTTGTAAGTAGCTCAAGATTTAGAACTCAAGACACCATGCTGTGGATTGTGGCTTGCGGAATGTGATATGTGGATCAAATTCAATACACATTCCTCAATAGCAGCTATATGATTATAGCCTAAAGTGAACACGTAGAATGGCAAGAAAATTGCAATAGGAAGATGGTCACTACTTGACAAAGGATTATTGGAAGGATTTTCATTCAAATATCAACAACCACAATGTGTGGATTACAGTCAAATTCCATGATTGCATCATATCTGCCTGAAGATGATATACAAATCTCAATTGTCAGCGATCCGTTGATCAAGTTCTATGTACATGAACAACGATATCTAATATTATGAATCACACAAATCCCTGAAATTTATTCTTCAAGAGAACCAGTCAAAACACCTTGCCAGTGATAGGAAATGCTTCAAGCTGAGAGACAATTCAAGTCAAAGCATTCACCAGGGCTAACCTTCTGGGAACCCTCTATTGCTTATTATTGAAATATCTTTCACAAACAAAATTGCCCTGATGATTTCCTGTTATTAACAGGGCTAAGATTTTTCTTTTAGTTGTGTAGCTGTATACTCCAAAAACCCATCATCAAGCTAGTACTGTACACAAATGAACACAATCTACAGTCAAGCTTGCATTAAAACAACTAAAGCCAAAAAGGGTGAAGGGTTTCACGACTGTTTCTCATTCATGACAAGCAAAACCTCACCACCAAAAGCAATGACAGCATCCAAATACCCCCAAACTTCATCTGTATCTTTGAAAGGTTCTGGTGAAGCAAGATCACTGTCCAAGTTATACCACACCCCATCAATCCTCCTCAATGCAACCCAGTGTCTGCTTTTCCAAAGGCCAAGAATCCTCTTAACTGGGACATTAAGCACAATCCCCATTAAAGTTTCATCAGGTGCATTGAGATCAATGGAGGAAGCTCCATTACGACGATCATGCCAGACTACACTCTTCCCTCTCTCTTCCAAGGCCGCAATCAGAACATTTACGTCGTAGTTTCCAGTCAGGACGTTATGATGGGGCTTAAAAACAACTGATAATGGCGTCCAGTCTGCTCGTTCAGGATCATCGGACGTAAGTTTTTCAGAAATTGCATTCAAGCCTCCCCGAGTAAAGGCATCCTTTTCCTGATGGAAGAGAAGCAGTTCCCCAAAAAAAAAAAAACAAAACAAAAAACAAAAAAACAAAAAACAAAAAACAAAAAAGAAGAAGAAGAAGAAGAAGAAATAAAATTACAGAAATTTCTAAAATAACGAAATTCTTTTCACTAGGAATTGCTATGAGGAAAAAGAAAATCAACTGCGTTCTAATACATACTTCCCAACTGATCCTAGGAAATCTTTAACAAACTGGATCATCTTACCTTAGGGCAACTCAGTGAAGAGTTTCTGATAAACTCCTATCCATTTAAAATTCAAGAATAAAGGTTACATTTGATTTGATTGCGGCTACTTCTCATGAAACAATCAACGAAACTAAAAGAGTTACTATAGATATGAAAGGGAGCACAAAATAGGCACCTGAAAAAGATTGTTCAGGCAATGAATTAGGCAATACTGCAGCCTTTGAGTTTCATGATATATTTGGGAATCTTCGCTTGCCATCTCCAGTATCCACCATGCGGTTCTCAAAGAAATCAAGAAACTTGAAAGGAAGAATTGCAAAAATCTATATTATGGGCTTCAAAACTGGAATCTGCAGATAGCCATTTAAAAGAGAATATTTAAATTATTGAAACGATACATTATGCTACTCAACAAAGCAAAATACATTACCATACAGGTAGATTTGAAGTTAAACATAATGGTTATGAACAAATCATTTCTTCTTTTTTTCTTTTTTTTGCCAGCTATGAACAAATCACTTCTAATCCACCCAGAAAACAGAGATTTGTAGGAATATGCAAGTGATTCTAAGGTTAATGAATGAACTCAGGAAGAAATGACGTTCGGCTTCAGCATTCTCATAACCATGGGGAAATCCAAGAACCACAAAACTTGGCTTCGAAGGTATGCAAGAGCTCGGGAAAGTTCAATTTTCCATTTCATACGTCATCAAAATGAAAGATGCAATAAAGAACCCAGGTAAAACTAAACAACTAATGAGAACTTTCCAGCTTCTGATAACCGTGGGGAAATTCAAGAACCACAAAACTTGGCTCAGAAAGTATGCAAAAGCTCGGGAAAGTTCAATTTTCCATTCCATACGTCATCAAAATCAAAGATGCAATAAAGAATCCAAGTAAAACTAAACAACTAATAAGACCTCTCCAGCATTCTGATAATCATGGGGAAATTCAAGAACCACAAAACTTGGCTCGAAAGCGCAAGAGCCCGGCAAAGGTGAATTTTCTATCTCATACATCATCAGCTTTATAGACGCAATGAAGAATCCGAGTGAAACTAAACAACAAGTAAGACCTCAATTGGATAGGATGATAAGATCATTTCAAGTTGCCAATGGAAAAAGCTCAAACAAGCAACTCAATCTCAGGCCATTTGGCGAAGAAGCAAGAAAATCCAATGGGAAACAAATTCGGGAAAACTGATGCCGTTGAACAAGAGAATAACTCACCCCAGTGAATGATCGACTAGGGTCTAGGAATGAAAATACCCAAATTCTGGATACAGAGTATCAAGAGACTGAAAATCTAGGGCGAGCTGAATCCCCAAAATGGTTTCTCAATATGAAGCAACAAAAGGTGAAAAGAGAAGTCACTTTTGTCAAATTTAAACGTGAAAATAAAAGAAGAAAGATAACTATAAGCCGACTGCTCACTCTTTTGTTTTGTTTTTTTTTTTTAAATCTCTAAAAATTAAATGCTGGTATTAATTATTTTTAATTATGGATGTAAAAATATATTTACTTAGAAAATTATTTTTATCTTTATTACATTTTATGTTATATGACGAAGAGTGTATAAGAAAATTTACTATGAATAATATGTATGACTTCTTCCACTAATTATAAGAACTAGTTAATCAATTTGAGAAAATTAAGAAAATAAGTTAAGTTAGTTATTTGTAATAAATAAGTTTTGTCTTTCCTAAAATATCATTACTAATAAAATGTATTAGTTACAACTATCATTGTTAGAAGGATTATCTTGAAAAAAACATAAATATGAGAGACAAAATGAATTGAGATCTTATATTGAGGATCAAAATAAAAGTCAAATAATATCTTATATTAAAGACCAGAGGTAGTATAAGATTGATTGATTTGAAGAAATTTAAAAAGTTAAAAAATTACTTAATTATAATATATGTTATACGATCTCTTTAAAGTACCTATATGTATTATTAGATTATATTTATTTCTAAAGTATTTTCAACATATTTTATATAGATCAAGAAAAATCTTAAAATGCATTAACTTCTATTAAAATATAACAACTTTTTAATTTTATCCCACTTTACATTTTTCTTAAAAAAATAACTACCCATATGATAATAAATAAAGAAAAAATAGTATATTCATGCTAAGAATTTAATGAAGTGAGTTATGAATACAATTAAGCTCTTAATAGGACTAGAAAGTATGTTTGTTTATAAGCCAAGTAAATTAGTTTTAAAAAAATAATAAATATAATATTTTAAAACAATTTGTATAACTTTTTTAATCCCTCCAAATTAATTAACTAGATCTTGGCTCTAATACATATTTAAGATTAGATCGGTGGATCATTGTATTGAAGGACTTCCTTGTTATTGACGAGCGATATTTCCGGTACCTTATAAAAAATTATTTATATTCATTAAATTAAGTGACTTTAAATACATACGCGCACTGCTAGTCAAAAAATAAATACACACGCACACATATTATCTAATGTTTTAACACATGTAAGTATTAAATTATCTTTTATTTAACTATTAAAATTTAAGTCTAAATATAGATAAATTGTGAATGTATATTTAAGGTATCATTCTAAAATATTAACGTAACCAAAATACTAGCTTCAGTAATATTTTTAATTCTACGTACATAAAACCATCATGTCGTTTTTTCTTTTTAGTTTTTGGCAATCAAACATCATGTTAATTATACATCGCAATATTATTATAAATTAAAAACACAAATGAGGCATGATTATTATGGATAAAAAAATTCACAAATTTAAAGCAAATAGATTTTTTTTTTCAGTAGAAATTAGGCTGTATCCCCAGCCAATAACTCGAGACTAATCCTCTCGAGGGTAGAGATCATCAAAATAGGTTTAAGGCAAATAGGTTTTGTCGATAAATAAAACATTTGTGTTCAGTATTCAGATTGAAATATGATTTTAATTATTGCATAGTTATTTATTTATATAGCTTGAGACAGGGCATATTGGTTATGTTATATGTTGTCCCTTTTATTAAGTTAATTACAACTGGTAGGTAAATACATGGTAAAAACTCCTGAATTAAAGGATCAAATGAAACTGTGAGCCAAGCAAAAGTTTCCAAAAAAAGATGAATAGACATTGTTCAATGGCTAGCCATTTGTTGAGGAAAAGATCAAACCGCTTTATCAATTTTTTTCTTACTACTCGCCAAAATTTGGGGAAGTCCAACTTTATCTCTCTCTCTGCGTTGATTCCTTCTAAAATTCTACACTTTCCCGGAAAATTCCAAGAACCCAGGAAAGAAAACCACAAAAAAGCTGCATTACTCTGCATTTCAATGTCTTCCCATGGTAGAAAACCTTTTTTTTTTTTTTACTCATATTATCAATGGAGATAACTGTTGACAAACATATATAATCACAGTTACTTGTTTCCAATCGGATAAAGGCTAACTTGTTGAGTTTTCTATTGTTAGGATGTGCCAGAAAACAACCCATCAGCCTCAGATCAATTTAAGTTTCACTTTTCACATTTAGAGGATAGACAAGAAAAGATGGGTTTGAATGCAAAGGAAATTTCACTTCGTTTGTGCAAAATGATTGTGGCTTTTTGCAACACAAGCTACGCATTTGTTCAGAAGCATCCAGTAGTGTCTGGTGTTTTCTCAGTCTCCTTCATCCTCTACATATTCCTCTCTTACATTTACAGCTTCCTGGTTTACTTGTCCCCATTTATTGTAGTCACTGCCATTTTCATCAGAATATTCTGGAGTTCTGAGCAACCCCAGCTGAGATATGTCAAAAGAGAGAGGAGAAGGAGTGACTTGAAGCATTCGAGGCTCGCCGGCAAGTATTGCAGAAGTGACTTTGTTCTTGACAGATACTATACCTATTCCTCACATTATAACACGAGTAGAAGAAAAAGTTGCAGAGACAAGAAATGGGGTTTGCATGGCGGTAATACTGAATTTGACAATGCTGTTTCTGAGATAAATTCAGAGAACAAAGGCCATAACTCTCTTGACAGATCTAGAGATGGTTCTTCTGATCATTGCTTGCCTGCCAAGAAATCTGCGAGTCCTAGTCGGCAAACCTTGCGCTCTGAGCCTTCAATGAGTGACTTGGTGCATTTTGGTATCATGGAAGGAATTAAAGAAGATGAGAATGAAGGGCAAAAGGATGATGATGATAGGATTAAAGATGTAGTAGGCTGGCCAAAGAATGATAAGAAAGATTCCATGGATCTCGGATTTTCAGAGTTAGAAAGAAAATGTAGGATGGAGAGTCTCATTGCCAACAGTAGAGCAAGACAAGAATTGAAGATGCAGCTTGAGAAAGGTGTGAATCCAACTCATCATCTTGCTCCTGTGCTTGTAACAAGAAACAACAGTTTTAAAGGTTTAAGGAGATTTGGAGTTGATGGAAGAGAATTGCCTGATTCTGCACCATCCATAATTCGACCCTCAAGGACTTTTAACTTTCTCTATAATTCGTCTCAGGAGAAACCTACTTTCCATCAAGAATCCACTCTAGGGAACCAGAAAGACAAGGCAATCTCCAGGCATCAAAGCTTTAATTTAGGCAGATTTAGAAGATTTCCAGGTAACAACCACTCCTTCTTCGTCCTTGTTCTTTATCAAATGCAGCTCAATTCAGCTTATTTGACAGTGATCTTACTTTGAGTTGAATCATTTAAGCCTAAACAAGAAAAAAACAGTAATTTTTTATGAAACTCAAGTACTCTTTAATGTTGCAGATAAGGGAAAGGGAAGCCATGACAGGTTAATTGAGCAATTGTTCTCCAAAAGTGGCAATTTTGACAGTGATGGAAGTGGTTTGAAATCTCCCAAACCACAAAGCAATTCCAAGGAACCTGATAGGAATAATGGGTCTGCAGGAACTGATCAGAATGTCTCAAGTTTTCAAAGAGATGGACTTTCAGAGAAGCCAGAACCAAGAGTTCAACATATGCCTCCAGAAAAATTACTCCAATTTCCAATATCTAATAGCACTAGTATAAATGAATCTCTGTTCAAATCTCTTGCTGCTCCCATTGAGAAGAACCATGAAAATATGTTCTACGCTGGGAGGCAAATTCGTAAAACTCCAACACAATCCATAGCTTCTGACTTACAAGTAGAGGTTTCAGAAGTTGGTTCACCAACAAAAGCACTTAACGACTCCATTTTAAGCTCAGAAGAAGAATCTTCAGTATATGATGGGGATAATGAGAAAGACTATTCATCTGGAAGTGAAGATATCTGGGGAAACTCAGTCCATGTGAGAGATGTACATGGAATTGGTGATTTTGAGGGTACTCCAAAAGCAATCATTAACTCCAATAAGGATGTTCTCTCACCATGTCCCTTGCAAGAGATAGATGAAGAAAATTCAGCTGATGTGAGTTCAGTGTCATCGACATGTGAGTTACCTGGAGACACGCCGACTTGTGCGGTAAGTTATGATCAGGACCTTTTTGGTGATAGGAGAGAAACCGTGGTGCAAAACGAAACAGCTCAGCCTTTGAATTCTTTAGATGTTCCATCTTCCCAAGCAAACTCAGAAAGATTAGAGGTACATGATTTTTCTTCTTCTATGTGATTCAGCTTTCAATGAGGTTAAATTTAGATGAAGCAATGAACTAACACAGACACAATATGTGCTCAATGCAAATATTTCCTTCCCTTTAAGGAAAGAGGGCAGAACCTCCAAATTTTATCAATCCAAATATGTTGAGATGTGACATTTTAAAAAAGTTGACATATGCCGCAGCCAAATATCAGCTTTAAAACTCTCATAGAAGGTAGCAAAGGGTGATAAGAATGTCTTTTTCTTTTCTTTTTCTTTTTCTAACAGGAATGGGGTAACCTTTATGAGAATTACACGAAGAAGGAAGAAGATGATGCTATAGATATGAATGACTCAGCAACAATGGACAAAGATCACACAGATAACAAGACTGCGCATCAAAAATCAATGGCTGATATCTCTGATCAATCAAATTTGTCCTTTCCACCAAAGGCTGTGTTACCAAAGAAGAACCCAACAGAGGAAGTTCGACAATCTAAGATGCAGGATATGGCAAAAACAACTTCAAGCGGTGAACACCATTCACAGGTTAGAATATTGTGGAAGAGATAAGAATAATATGTAAAAAGCCATGAAAATCGACATGATATAATGTACTAACTGATAGAAAAAAATTTATCCCAAAAACTTTTACCTAACAACACTAGGTATCCGGAAGTTTTCTTGGGAATAAATTTTCCCAAAAGTTTTTTGACAAGAAAGGCAATATTACTACAATTTTAAACTTTCTGGATAAATTTTCTCTCAAAAAACTTCTGGATACCCAGTGCTCCTAAATGAAAACTTTCAGAGCAAATTTGCACCTTGACCCAAAAATAAAATATCAGAAATTCTGCTGCCTCTCAAGCAGAAGAGTACATGTCAATCACGTGCAACATAGATAGGTGAACATCAGATTGCATGCTTCGAATAATTTGTAAGAACGTTAGCTTTTTTCAATGATATCTAAGAGTGCAATTAACCTCAATGATGAAGAAACATGTCATCAGTCTTTAATAGAGTTTAGTCCAACTTAGAATGCCAATTTTTTCCCTCTAAAACCTCTCTTCCTCATGTTCATGCTCCAAAAAAGATTATTAACTAAACACAAAACCTTTTGTTTACTAGACAAGTCATGCTGATGAAGCTATGTCAGACATTGAAGCCAAGAAAGATGCTCAAGATAATTCTGCTCATTTGGCAGAAAAAGAAGCCATTGATTTAACAAAAGTAGCAGCCGGAACAAGCAGTGCAAACATTCCCACGGGAGAAAAGGTTAGTGATCTGTGTTCTATACTATTTCATCTGGGTATTGCGAACACCTGACATCCATCAATTAAGAAAAGGTTAGTACAATGTCCTTTGTTTTGAATTTTACACATGTTTTCACCGAAAGAAATGTTATTGATCTACCAAACTAGATAGAAGAGATAAAACTAAGATAGGCTTTTAATAATTTATCCATTAAAAAACTTTTATTCTCTCTTGTTATCATTGTTATCAACAATTTTCACAACCTCATTTTGTATCAAAGAACTCCAAAGCAATGAAATTTAGTTGATGCACCTGGGTTAATTGAACAGGTTCCATGGAGTAAAGAGAAAGAAGTTGAATCCCAAACATTGGTGAACCAGGATTCTTCTGCAGAAACACGTATGAATGCTAAAGCAATGGATTCAAGAGCTTCCATCAATGTTGAGGGGAAACATGATGATTCAAAGGAGAATGAAGCCATTTTTTGGTCCAGATCAGAAACTGAACATTCTAAAAAACCTAGACGAGTAATTCAACCTGAGAATTTTATGCCAAATATGAAACATGGCGAACTTTCTCATGAAGACGAGCCTCACAAGATGCAACATTATAGAAGTGGCTATTTAACCACATAATTCTTGAAGTCACTAATTATCAGGTTTGAATTCTTGAAAAAAATTATTGTTTCATCATTTCATTACTAAGAGAGTGAAAAATCACTAGGATATAAATTATCAAAATAGTCAAGGAGAAATCTAGATTGATCTCTCATATAATATGCCCTTCTTTTGTTGGCCACTCTAAGTTAGTTTTCTCCAGTAATTCTTATAGATAGACCAGAAAAGATATTTAAGCTAATTTTCCAGACCAAGCAAAAAATGAAGTTGATGATTTAAACAAAACCTAGAGCTAAAGCAAATAACATAAATTCTTCAAAAGAACATGTATATTAAGCTCTATAACATTTAGATATTGGAAAAACTAAACACTGATGCTATGAACATTAAAAACAAAAGCAATAGTAAAAGAACTGTGAAAAGAATCAAAAATGCCCTTGCCTCTATGATAACATATTCATGAATTCTTATTCTTGTTCTCTTTATTATTATAGTTGTCAGCAAAGCATGCAGATCCACTCCATTTCTAAGAAACCCCAATTTCACAGCATTGAAGTTTAGCCAATACACCAACATATCAGTGTAGAGATCTTCTTGCTTATGATAATTTGAACTTCTTACAAGACCATGTGCAAATATGGCAGAGTGAAATAAGAGGGAAGCCATTGAACATGGATCAAATGAAATTGACCTGAATCAGTAGAAGACAGCAGCAAGGTCATCGACACAGCAAGCAATGAAGGGAGTCAAAGTGCCATACCCAGATGAACCAAATGATAGAGACCAGAGTTTGTTGAAGGTGACATATATAGAAGGAGGATATAGCCAGAAGGCAGTGATATCACTGGAAATTTCTCACAATCATCTCTTAACCAACCATCATCAGAAGCAAAGTAGCAAATGGCAGACTCGCAACAGACAATTCATGAGAGGACAAATCGGTGAAAAGCCCATATTTGAAAATTTTATTCGCCAGATGGACCTAAATTAGAGTACTAGTACTGTGTGTGAAATCCCGTAGAATACCAGTACTTTCTATCTATAAAAACATATAAGGTCCTTATGGCCAATAAAATTTCCAAGTACGGACTTTTTACTGATTTTCCCATTCATGAGGTGGTAGGTGTTGAAATTTGGTATTTCAGAGGGTAAAACAAGCAAGTGAAGTGTTACCAATTAGCTTTTTCTCATCATCGTCACTTGATGAGAAAATTAAACTTGCCACGATGGAGGTTCAAGCCTAACATAAAACCGCGCAAACACTACTAACAAGTTTGAGAGATCTTTTTATTCGTCTCGCAAGGCTCCCAATTTTAGCTTTGAAGACAAGGGAGTGAGGCTGTATATGCAACTCTTTTATTATTCTCCTTTCACTCATCTTTACCCCAGTTTTGTTTCTTTATAACTAAACACACTGTTTTTTTCCATATATATATATTGCACAAAATCTTCAGCAAATTAGATAGAATAGAAAATAAAGTGGATCTCTTAAATGTTTGATTTTGATAGTTTAAATCTCGCTAATTTTTTTAATAAATATAAATCGTTTAGATCTTCCCTTAACAGTCTAAATTAAGTATGGATTATGCACATTTTAAGAATGAAATTTGAATTCAAAACTTGAAAGGAATTCGTTCTGAGCCCTTTTATGAATGTAGAAGCAGCATTTGGAGCAGCATTTGAAGAAAATATAATATGCATATAATTATGACGGGTGAAATATGCATATAGCCATATTCTATAGTGCTACCCTCTCTCCAAATGTATAGAAATTCATCTGTATGCATGCATGCATGTATTCACAGCGGGAGAGAGAGCTAATTTGAGAGGAGCTTGAAAATTTTGGTCTCAGATGTGCAAAGGCCTTCTCAACCTGATTTTTTTCCATCCACATTCCGCAATATATGGATACATGTTAAAATACTACCTCCGGTTCTAATTATAAAATTTTATTTGTAAACTATAAACGAGATTTTATAATTAGAACTGCAGGTAGTATATTCATACGATTAGATATGTAAAATTATAAATATAATAAATTATTAAATTAATAAAAAAACATTATAATAACACTTTTAACAGAATACTCTAATTAATAACTTCAAACATAGAAAAATTAGCAATCCATGGAGAAAGTATTTCTTTTCCTTAGATAACGTATAGTATTTATCACGATGAGCGATCATACTATAATTATAGGCAATTTATTCATCATATTGTAATAGAAGGAAAGATTGAGAGAAAACTGAGATTCACTGTATGCTGTTAATGTTCGAGTAAGATACCAACTCGCACACCCAAATATGAGCAACTAAAAACAACGGTAAACTGTTGAAATGAAATTACAATGTGACCCAACCCAACAAATACAAAATGCCCACTCTGCCCTCATACAGTTACAAAGCTGTATCACTTATCAAACCTTCACGAAACAACCAACAAAATTACCCAAAAAAATAAAATAAAAGATATAACAACAAAACGCTGATTACTCAGAAGTGAGATAAACATATTAGCTCATAGCTATCTCTGCACACAATGCCCACATTAAGAGGTCCATCCAGATTTATTCTTACAGCACCAGAATCCAGAGTTTGCCAGTTCCTTATCAGTAAACACCTATTTAGATGTATTCCCTAGTCAATGCCCCATTTAGCACTCGCAACATGAATTGCTGCATTTCAGAAAGTACTACCAGCTTTCCAAACCCTCTTTCACAGGTCTTTTGGCATCAGAAAGGAACTACCAGGATCTTTGATTGGCATGCTGCTTTTATCTTCCTCAGACATATAATATCCAGATTTTACAGTATAGATCCATCATTCTGTACCCAACCTAATGAATTTATCATCAGATTCCTCATTCGCAGCTGAATCTTCAAAATCCTCCGTTTTTCAGTCTCACATCTTTGCTTCAATAGGCTTTAAACCCCATCTCCGTCCATTAACTAGATCAGTAACCCTTAACATCTTTTCCGCCTCATATATGCCATCATTAGCACCGTCCTGCAAAAAATATATCCAAGGAACAGATCCAAAGTTCATGCATGCTTTGAGCATAAAAGTTATAGGTTGGAACCCATTGTTGTCACATGCAGGTAACGAGGATTTGCTAAAGGCTGTTGTAGGGGCCATGGGTGGTGCCTAAATATGCTATGGCATGTTTTAAAATGGCTAGAGTATTCTGGCGGGTTAAGCCTGATTCAGAGAAAGGTTTCCGCTGGAAGGATGAAAATCTGTCACCAAAAGTAAAAATGATGGGGGGGTTGGTTTCAGAGAGTTCAGTGTTTTTAATATGGCTCGTTTGCCTAAGAGTGCTTGAAGATTGTTGAAGAATCCAGAAAGTTTGTGGGTAGATTGGTGTAGAGCATTTATCATATAAACACTGGTGTTTTGCCAGACCAAGAAGAGTCAAAGGTTTCTTCAGACTGCTGGGCAAGCTTGATTGAGAAAGGGATGAGCCAGTGAAGAACTTATGCTTGGTAGTTGCTAATAAATTGCTTGTTTGTGTTGGAAGGCTTGGAAAGAGAGATGTAATCTTTTTGTTCAAGGGAATTGAGGTAAATCCCCTTAATGTTATTATCCAGAGTAGCAGATCAAGTGAAGATTAATTGTGATGGATCTTTTATATATGAATGAATGAGGTTTGGTGTGTATTGGATCAATTGTAGAAATAAGGAAGGTAGTGTATTGGAGTTGATTGGAAAATCTGTGCTGGTTGGTGTAGGGATTGGCTAGACAATTTGCTGACATAAAGTATGTCTGGAGGTGCATAGAGAGGATTTATAAAGAAGGTTGAGAAATGGAAATAGTGTGCCTTGTGATTGAAGAAGTTTTACAGGTTTTACACTTGTGGAAGATAAATTGAATGAACTAATAATGCTTATGACAGAAGACATGAATACCCAAGAGTGTCAGAAAGTTTACTTAAAAAAGTAAAACACAAAAACAAAAAATAAAAAGGAAGCTTGTGGCAGAAGACATATTCAAAGCAAGTCTTAGCATTTAGTGTAGCGCAGAGAACAAAAATTCACCCAAAAAAAAAAAAAAAAGCTTCATCAATCATACCCCTGTTCAGAGTCTTCACAAAAATCAGGTTACTCAAAACTCCAGATTTCAACGAAGCCCACAGTTTGTAAAAGGGTTTCAGTACTGCCCAACCTTTTTTATTTAAACTGATTGATGATTTAACAGTTTTATCCTACCGTTGGCATATTCTAGATTTAATTTCACAAAAATCTATGCACTCTAACTGTTTTTTGCCACCAAAAGTCTAAATAATCAAGAACGGAGTTTTTATTCCAAAAGCATAGGAACAGCATGTGTATTGCCAATAATGGTCAGGGATTGCTATATCACTTAAAGTTGTGAAAGAACTAAGAAGAGTATAACAGCAACAACCCAAACCAATTTTCCAAACGAATAAACCAAACTTAAATGTTGGGAAGGACCCGATAAAATGGTAAAACAAGAGGAAAAACAAAGCAACAAAATCATTTTTAAGGGGAAACAAAAGGAAATTGACGAGAAATGATACAATGGAAAGCAAATCAGAAAACGCATGAGTACCTGACAATATTCAGAAGTGACTAATAAGATAAGCAGCATTAACAGGGAGTTCACGGCTTAAGAAATAGGTAGATAAAAACCGCATGGGCGTTCATTGGCAAAAACTTCATTAAAAAAAAAAAAAAAGGACTTAAAACCCAGCGACCGCAACATGACATCATGTACAGTTTCAGCTTTATTTTCCGGCCCAAACGAAGTAAAAATGATCAATTCCAAAGTATTACCGGCAAAAAATCAAAACAGAAAAACGGAATAATATTACCGTAGAGACATCAGAACCCGCATGTGCCGTTCTCTCTTTGTCTCCACAATAGCCGGAGCCACATATTTGGCTCGAAACTCCTCCATGACGCTCTGGTAAACATCTTCAGCAGAGTTCAGAAGTAATTTTGCCAAAACGTTGGGTGCGCGCGCAGCAGGGCGCTTTCTCCTTGGCGCATCCGGCGTTGTTGGGGTAACACCTCCCAGCGACAAGGATGTCGGAGGTGTATCCGGTGTTTGCCGTTCTCTCTTTGCCGGAGCAACACATTCAGTTCGAAGCTCCTCCATGAAACTGTGGTAAATATCTTCAGCAGAGGGAAATTCTGAGTCTGAGATAACAAAAACGGAAAGAAAATAAGCTGTGAATAGGGTTTGCGTGCAAGGAAGGCGCCAAGGCGGTAAAGAAAGACGTTGGAAAATGGCAACGTCCCCATCGCGCGGGCTGAAAAAGCCCGCCTAAAGGGGAGCCTTTATTTTTAGTTTTCAAAAACAAAAATCAATTTTTTTCAATTTCAAAAAGTGATTCCAATTGGCAAAAATATCATATTGATCATTTGAGCTACAAAGTGATTTTTTCAAAATGTGACGCTTTTACAATTTTACCCTTACCAAAATGACTATAATCTTTTTGGCCTGAAAATGACTATAATCAATGCCCATCGCCCAAGTTTTCTCAGCAAAAGCGTAAAGATATTATATTGGATGGTATGAATAATTGTAAAAGAGTTTAGCAATATTTGAAACATTAATTATAAATAATAAATTTAATATTTATTTAGATATTTTGAGTACTTAAAAATTAAAATATGAGCTGAAAATATAAGAAATGGGCATTAGAAATATTAACAACGAAAAATGACACAAAAATGATACTTAAACTTGAAAATATCAAAATGATCACTTGAATTTGCAAAATCCCAAATTGTCATAAGTGACCAATTTGACATTTGTAAATTTGCTGAAATGATCATATTATCTTTTATTTTATTTATTGTTTTTTAAAAAACCAAATGCCCCCGCTAGCCGACCGGTTGCTAGAGCTCCAATGCGAAAGGCAGCCACCAAAGCTCCGATGGCCATCGCCAATTGGTCACCAAAGCTTCAGTGGTAGGCAACAATTTTTTAAAAAACTTTTACAACTTCAGTAAAACAGTTAACAGGTTTTGTAACGTTATTAATAAGTTTAGTATAACAGTTAACAACAGGTTTTTCAGAAAAATCAAAAAGTAATATTTTTACAACCTCAGTAATGCCGTTAATAAGTACCATAGCTCTATTAACGAGTTTGGTATAGCATTTAATAACAGGTTTTCTAAAAATTTAAAAAGTGGCATTTTTACAACTTTAGTAGCACAGTTAACAAGTCTTGTAATGATATTAACAACTCTCATGACCATAATGGCTGCCTAATAAGTGAAAAATTTTGTTGTACAATTTCATAGGGAGCTAATATCAAAAACATCAACTTTTTATGAGAGTTGTTAATATTGTCACATGACTTGTTAACCATGCTACTAAAGTTGTAAAATTACTAAACCTATTGTTAAATGCTATACCAAACTTGTTAATAGAATTACGAAATTTGTTAACGGAATTGCTGAAGTTGTAAAAATACTATTTTTTGAATTTTCTGAAAAACCTGTTGTTAACTGCTACATCGAACTTGTTAATAGAGTTACAAAACTTGTTAACGACATTGCTGAAGTTGTAAAAATTACTAATTTTTGAATTTCCTAGAAAACCTGTTATTAACTGATATACTAAACTTGCTAATAGCATTACAAAACTTGTTAACCATTTTATTAAAGTTATAAAAATTTTCAAAAAAGTAATTACTAAAGTTGTAAAAATTCCAATTTTTTGAACTTTTCAGAAAACTTATTATTAAATTTTATACCATAATTGTTAATAGAGTTACAGAACTTGTCAATAACATTATTAAAGTTGTAAAAATGCTACTTTTTGAAATTTATGAAAAACTTGTTGTCAACTGTTATGTTAAACTCTACGGGTACTAATGCTCCAGCAACTAGGAAGCCAATAGGGGCGTTTGTTTTTTAAAAAACAATAAATAAAATAAAAAGCAATATTGTCATTTGAGCAAATTTATAAATGTCAAATTGGTCACTTATGACTAAATTGGAATTTATATTCAAGTGATTATTTTGGCATTTCTAAGTTTAAGTATCATTTTTGTGTCATTCTCCTATTATCAACCTTTAAAAAAAAAGGAAAATGTTATCAATAACTACTAGGAAAATTAAAGTTGAGTATGGAAAATATTACAAACAAGTATTGAAAAAATTTATTCAGAAAATGAGAAATGGGTTATGATTTTTTTTTTTTGGGAAATATCAACCATTCTTGATTCTAACGGTAATTATCACTCCTGTAAATTCCTTTAAAATGTAGTTTGGACTGAACTCATCGTCAGACCTCCTGGGCTGTCACTCTTTCTTCCCCGGCATACCGCTACAACTATTTATTTATTCGTATTTAAATATTACTATTTTCACTTCTTCTTTTTTTGCATTGGTTCTTCCTTTGTTGGCTCGTAATTATTATTAATATTTTAGATTTATTTTTGTTGACAAAAAAATCTCTTCTTTATTGAAAGAATGGTTTCCCCCATATATAAATGACTCTAATGGCTCGTGATTCCATTTCATGAAAGAAGATTATATGTAATCCTAATGTAAAGTTGCAATTCAAATATTTGGTTGGGTTTATGTAATGTAAAAAGGATTACATTTTGCAATAGTGATTATATCAAATGGATGTATTGGGATTACACAGCTGAGACGTAAGAATAAGGATGCAAATCTCTTGTAATTAACTAGAAAAGAAATTATTACCCTTGTAGTTTTTAAAATTGACAAGATTAGATTCGTATTGGATAAGTAGAAACCCTTGCCTACTCATTACTTTCTCTTGCCGCCGCTGTGGACCACAAAGACACTAGTCATCGCTGCCATATTACTAGATTATCATCATGTTCTGCAGCTAATGAGGGTGATGTTATTAGTATCTCTCTTTTCTCTCTTTTTTGCTGCCATATCACATGTTCTTGGGTAGTGTTTCTTTCTTTCTTTTTTTCTATTGCATATTATATTATATTATAACCATATCTCTCTGGTTGCCGTAGCACATGTTGGATTCTTTTTTTTTTTTTTTGTCTTTTTTACAATAGGTTTTTCGATTTTTGTGTTCAGATATCATTAATAAACAAAAAGGCTTTTGATTTTTGTCTTCATATATCATCAATAAAAATGAAAAACTCTTTGTGCTATTTCTCAAATTTTTTTATTCCTTATCAGATGCTCTCTTTTTATCATTATGCTTGTAATTTTGGAGTTTTTGTCTTCATATATTATCAATGAAAATGAAAAACTCTTTTTTCTATTTCTCAAATTTTTTTATTCCTCATCAGATGCTCTCTCTTTTTGTCTTTATCAAATATTAGGTATTGTGTAAATTTTTTAAATATACTTGTTGATGTCTTCGTTGGAACATGGTATTATGCTCATTTTTTTATATATTTATTTTTTTCAAGAATTTTATTTACAACTATTATTGTAGAACTTCCATGCCATAACCTTGTTTTGGTTGGGTACAATTAATTATGGATTAACATAGACAACAAATCATTTTTCGCACAACGCTAGGCTGCTTTATAATTATCTACACTATTCAAAAAAAGGTTTTTTGAGATGAATTTTAGTATAGCACTAAAAATATACATGACCGGTCTTACATCTTTGATTTTCATAAGAAAAGACATCTTTGATTTTCATAAGAAAAGAAGGCACCTTAGAGGGATGGTACATGGAAGTGATATACTTGTTTCAACCAAACTAGGATGCATAGAACTATTTTTTTTTCTAGCTTTGTAGCATATTAGAGACTATAGTTGGTCTTAAATTGATTCGACATATGTTACTGGATAAGCAGGTTACAATCTTCTTGCATATACTTGCTCATCATGTGAAAAATAGAGTTATTCAATTTGAGTTTGAAAGGTCGGGAGAAACTATAAGTCGGTACTTCAAGATTGTTTTAAAAGCAGTTGTTCTCCTCCAAGGTAGCAAAGATGCCTACATCTCTTGGTGAGGATGATGAAGAAGATTCTAGAATTGAAGCTGAAGTCAAATGCTAAACAAGTACTCAATACTGATGCAAATTTTGCTATGTCTGAGCAACAACCTTCACAGCCAACTAATGTCAATTTATCAGGGGGGAAAAAAGCAAAGGAGTGGTCACGATGCTGTAGTGCTGCTTGCTGACGCTTTGAAAGAATCTTCCTCCAATATGGATAGCACACTAATGAAGTTTGCTGACAATTTATGTAAAAAATTTCCAGAAATGCAAAAGGATTCAAGAAGATTTGGTCCTGTTGACATGGATAGAGCAAAAGAAATATTTAGACAACTTATGAGAATACAAGATCTCTTGTGGAGTGAGATTAATAAGACTCATGCTAAAATTATGAAGTTCTCATCATTAGCAGTTGAATTCTCATTAGTCCTTGAAAACGAGATGGTTGCTTGGGTGTGCAACCTTCTTGAATAGATAAGCAGCACCTTTAAATCTTTTTTCATTAGTATTTTAGAGGTTGTAGACATGATCTCAATTTTTTTAAACAAATTGATGAGGACATGATTTAACTTATTAGTTCTTATGCATAAATTTATATATTTACTTATTGTCTCAATTCCAGATTTATTTCAAAATTATTCTTCTAGTTATAATATAGTTATAAATATATGTATGTATGAATGTGTGTATATGAGTGCAATATATATGTGTGTGTGTATCTGTGTGTATTAAATTTCTTGTTAATATTTCTAATGTACTATCTCTGAGACCACTTATCATTCTTCTATTGGAAAATAGGTTGTTATTAATAATGGGAAAATTATGTAGAGTCCCACAGAAGAGAATTTACTACTGAAAGGTCCCATGAAATCCTCAAATTCCTCCTAAGTCCCCAGGGACCTCTGGGTAAATAATTTTAATTGTGATATTACGTACTTGTCCTCAGTCATTGATAAAGGAAAGAAAAGAGGGAGAGACGCTGATTGGCTTCATTTAGTGCGCTTGTTTGTTATGCATGCACGAGGAAGAGAAGCTTCTGAAACAAAGAAGGGAGGTATGCGTTGGTACTCCATTGCAAGCAAGCCACATTATTTCTTCATCTTCTTGGTAGGTCTTGTAAAACCCTTAACCTCAAAACATTATAAACTTGTCATAAAATCACTACTATGGTAGAAAAGGAAAGATGTTACAATAAACTACCATAATAGAAAGAAATTTGCATAAATTTTAGAAATTAACATTTAAACTCGGTTCAAACTCAAACTCCGTTGCATGCAACTAAAATCATTCATTAACATCTACTGGGCCTCCGAGCCTCCGGCCCGGGTAACAAAAGACATCACATCAGCCCATATGATTGGTTTCCAACAATGTATATCAAAGTTTCACAAAACACTAGAAATGGCCTCCGACCACCCAAAAATAAGGAGATAACATTTTCTCCAGTTTACAATAAGATCAACAATCAAAATATTTCAAAAAAGGCTCTAATTAATGTGGCAATATACAACTAGCCATACATATACAAGGGCTAGAGGCCTAAAGCTAACCAAGCTCAAGCCTTTGCGTCTCTTCCTGATGGCACACGCCTAGAACCTTCACCTGAAAACATTGTAAACCACAGGGTAGGACAACATCCCAGTAACCAACCTTTCCAATTCAAGATACAACTAAATAGGTGCTCGTGAGGTGTCAAGTGGGTCAGTTCACAAGTAATATGATACATGATAGCCACAACAAATCATGGAAGTGCAATGATGCAATCCTATCAACCATATCCCTTACTTTGGGAGATATTCAAAAGCCGAACCCAGCCTATCCCTCACTATGGGGGACGTAAAGAGCCAACCATCATGCATTAATGGAGGCCTTACCATGTGGTAGTAACAATCAAAGCCCTCACCAATTCCCAATTCATGCATCATGCTCAAACTATAACCAAAGAGTAAATGTCATTTCACAATTAACTTCTTTTAGTGGCCTATCTTTCACAAGTTTTAGATTCATTCAATATCAATTGAAACCCCACAAGACGGTTTTTCTTTTCAATATACAACATACACTTTGAACACAGTTGTTACTCAGAGCATAAAACATAAATTCACTCACAATACCACAAAAGCATGTACAAAGGATTGAAAAGTGGTTACTTCTCGCCTGAGCAAGGAATAACAAACCAACAATACGGCCCCGTGCACCAACAATGCTCACAACCAGTCTACACAAGCACACACCACTATCATGTATTAGCTTTCAACTAATAATGTGGCCAAAACAACACTTGGGGACACAAAATTCCTAGCTTCAACCAAAACTCTATCCAACTAAAAAGGGTATAACCATCAAGGCAACACTCCAAGGTCATAAAAATCCATTAAAACCTTAATTCCTTTCTACACATCAATTAAAATCCATAACTCAAGGACCCACTATAGGAATTCAACACCCAAACATCCCATTTGAACAATTGAAGTCTTAACAACATTCTAAACCGATTAAACATCCAATTTAACCCTCCTTAATATAACCCAAATCACAAAACTCAAAATCAACCTCCACATTATCATCCCCAATCACAAACCTCCCATTTTCATAAACCCTAACTTCAAAACTCAAAGTTCTTTAAATCTAAGAAAACTACACCGATTAAATACTTAGACTAACCCAAAGCAATCAATTAAGCTCAAAACAATCGGTCAAAAACCTCAATACCATCACAACCTAGAGAACTCTAGGGTTTCACCATAAATCCTCAGAAATTCCAAAAAAGAAAAGAGATTAGAGGTTAAAATCACTTACTTGAGGTAATGGATCCTTAGAAATGCCCCTCCAAGCCAAAAATTCAAAACCCTAGTAGAGCCTCTTTCTCTTCCTTCAGATTTTCTATTTTTCGCATATCTGACCCCTCCCGCGACTATATAGATTCGACCCCCTTCGCCGCGGTGAACTAATCACGAGAGGGATTACTCGCCTGAAAACATGACTTCGCTGAGGCGAACTCCAATCTTCGCCGTGGTGAAAGCTTCCTGAGAGGAAACTCTTGCTCACCCAGAAAACCTTCGTCGCGGCATACCCCTAACTTCGCCACGGCGAAACCTCCTCGAAAGGACACTCCCCCTAGAACTCCTAGTTTGCCACGCGCGAACAAACTCTGAGAGGGATTGTTCACCTATTCCTTCAACATACCTCAATCCCAAGCCAAACACCAAGATCAAGATTAAATCACTAATCTATCCTCAAAATCAACCAAAAAGAGGTTATTAAAACCCGATAAAACTCAGGACGTTACAGGTCTCATCATTAACAACATTTCTCTTCTTCTGTACACAACCAGTGTCAAGTTTAATGTTGATCTGAAAAGTTGATTAGGTGTTGATATGTGGGTATTAAGGATGTAATTCAACTCACTAGAAATATCAAGGGAGGCTCATTTTAGTCATATGTGGTTTTAATCATGTTAGGTGTGGTTTTACTATGTGTGGCTAGGGTTAGAAAGCAATGCTTTGTTTTTTGGTGAATGATGCTCTGTTTTTCGGTCATTGATGCTGTGTTGCTGATGAAAATGAGTGGAAAATAACAGATATTTATTATTATAACCCCTCAAATGCGATAGTTAAATGTGTTGTTAATGGGTACATCGAAGGTTGTTAATATACCTGTATGACTTGTTATTAACAACCAGTCGCAGGTTTAATGCTGGTCTGAAAAGTTGATTGGGTGTGGATATGTGGGTATTAAAGATGTGATTTGACTCACTAGAAATATCAAGGGAGGCTCATTTTAGTCATATGTGGTTTTAATCATATTAGGTGTGGTTTTACTATGTGTGGCTATGGTTAGAAAGCAATGCTCTGTTTTTCGGTCATTGATGCTATGTTGCTGATGAAAATGAGTAGAAAATAACAGATATTTATTATTGTAACCCCTCAAATGTGATGGTTAAATGTGTTGTTAATAGGTACATCGAAGGTTGTTAATATAACTGTATGACTTGTTATTAACAAGTGATTGTGGCAGGTTGATATCAAGGATGGCAACTTCCAGTGGGAAGTAATTGTTTTGTTACCTCCATATAGGAGGACAATTTATTAATGGTCTAGAAGGTGAAACGCAGTATGTTAGAGGTGGTGTGAGAACAAGAATAACAAAGGAAGGGACATCATATGGACAATTTAGAACAACGGTGGCATCAATTGTGGGAAAAGAAAGTAATGGAATGGTTATGAAATTCACAGTAACCTTTGATGAGTGTACATTTGTGGACCTTATAGATGATGAAAGAGTAGAACATTTGATTAACTTCAATGGCGACAGTGGTCATGCATATATAGGAGAAAATGGAGATCAAAATTCACAACTAACAAGGGATGTTGTAATAGAAGAGCAACATGTGTTAAGTTGTGTTATTTAAATTTTGAAGTAATATTAGCTATTGTCAACTGTTGTGCGTAAGTTGTTATTATAGTGATCGAAGGTTGTCATTAACGACCCCTTGACCTGTTCTGTTATGTAGGATGGAAGACTTATTCGAAGGTTCAGATACATTGTCCATGTCTCCACCTAATGTGGTTAGTGAAGACCCACTATCATTGCCATGTGGTTCAGAAATAATGCCAACCCCAATTCCGGAAATGCATTCAATAAAGTGGAAGGGTTTGGTTATTAGAGAAGGACAAATTTTTCCTAATGCAGTGACCCTTAGACAAGCACTATATAGGTATAGTATTGCTGTGAAGTTTTCATACAAGTTTGTGAAGAACAATCAACAAAAGATCATTGTGAAGTGTATGGTGGAGGGATGCCCATGGTATATGGGTGCACACTCAATGGGACAAAGACAAGATTTTGAGTTCTTAATAATTAGAACCTTAAGAAGTGAGCATGTGCATTATGCACAGGACAGCTTAGTTGTATCTCACTCTGGAGGGTCAAACTTAACATCATCAATCATGATAGATTCTTTGAAGTGTAATATAGACAAGAATGCTAATGAAATTAGAAGAGATTTGTACAGAGAATATGGGGTGCGACTAAATTATAGTCAAGCATACAGGGGTAAAGAAAGAGCATTGAGGGAAATACATGGTCGTGCACAGGATTCATACATGGTGATTCCCTGGATTTGTGAAAGGCTTACTGAAACTGATCCAAACACAATTGCTCGATGGGAAGGGTTGGATAGTAACAGATTTGAGAGGGTGTTCATTGCTTATGGATACTCAATTAATGGATTTTTAGAAGGGTGTCGACATATACTTTATATAGATGGCTGTCATCTAAGTGGTCCTTACAGGGGGACATTGATTTCAGCTAATGCATATGATGCGGACAATGAACTGTTTCCATTAGCATATGCTATAGTTAATGGGGAGACATATGATGATTAGGCTTGGTTTCTCTAGAACGTCAAAGACATCACAAGATTAGTGGAGACAACGATAGTTTCAGATCAGAATAATGCCATTATAGGTGCTATGCAGACAGTATTTGGTGGCGAGAGACATGCTTTTTGTTACAGGCATGTGAAAGAAAATTTTAGTGCACATTATTTAAAAATTAACCGAGGCAGGAGACGAGTTTCATGTACTTCAAAGGACGTCGCATTGAAAATGCTGGATGGAATCGCCTATGCAAGGATTGGGGATGAATATGTTGCTGTAATGGGGAAACTTAGATCATTTTGTCCACAATTAGCTGATTGGGTTGACAATCAAGGAGATGTAGATTGGTGGGCTTTAAACAAATTTCCGTTTAAACGATGGGATAACATCACCACTAATATTGTGGAGTCGTTTAATGCCTGGATTTTGAAGGAGAGGAAGCACAATGTGTCAATTCTTATACATGAGCATGTGGAGAAATTAGCCAAGAAGATGGTTGCAAGCAAAATGGCAATGGGAAATTGGACAAATGGCATTGGGCCAAATATTGAGTCCAAGTTGCAAGAAAAAATAGTAAGAGCGGAGAATATGCATAGTGTATATTATGGAGATAACCAAATTCAAGTTCATACTACATCTCCTACTGGAATAATTTGTGTCACTGTTGATCTCACAACACACAAATGCACTTGTTTAGCATGGCAAATGAGCGGAGTACCTTGTGTTCATGCCTGTGCAGCAATAAAGCTACTTCATAGTAATGTTTATGAATTTGTAGATGATTACTATAAGCTGTCAACCCAAGAGAAGATATATGCAAGTAGTGTGAGGCCAATTGCGACACATGATTGTCCTCATCCTGAAGTTCTCACCGTTACGCAGATGATGACGAGAACATTTTTACAGCTACCAATCACTAAAAGACCCTCAGGGAGGCCAAAGAAAAGAAGGATTGAATCTCAATTTCAAAGCAAAAAACTTTACCACTGTGGAAGATGCCATGAGCTAGGCCACACTGTGAAGACTTGCCAGAACCCCAATCTAAGTTGAGCTTTGCTGGTGGCTTGTTGATATTTCATTTTGTGAATGCTTGTGACAGCATTTTTTTGTAAATGTCATAACCTACACCTCAAGTTGTCTGTCATTATCCACACATGCAACCGTATGCTTTTTTGAATAGGTTGTAAATTTGGTGTAGTTACATTGTACATATATATATCAAGTGGTAAATGACACCTGATTGTAATATGATATAACATCATTTCTGTATTTTTGATGTACTGGTCAATAGGTTGTAATGGACTTGTTATCAGACACCATGCAGGTTGTCATTAGCAGTCTCAATTATGTTACTGATATAAAGTGACAATTTCTCCTACTTCCAGTGTTCAATGATTTTTTTAAGACATCCGAGTTGTGTTAAAGTCATAACATGATATGATTTGGTTAGAACTTGATCTTATGTAGAGGTTGTGGTATCCCCAGCGTCAGTTGTCAGGGGCAATGCGAAGGTTGTTAACCAATTATGTTTGAGTTGTCAACAATCCCTGTTGAGGTTGTAAATGAATTGCTGCAATAAAAATCTGCTGTAATCATATTTAGTTCAGTTAAAGCTATTAATGACTTTAAAATGCTCCCAATTTTTGTTATTAAGGTTGTTATATGTGCTGATAATATAATTAAGTTAAGAGCTGTGTTATCCCCTGAGTGAGGTGTCAGGGGCACTGCCAATGTTGTTAATCAATTCTGTTACGGTTATGAACAACCCCTGTTGAGGTTGTAAATAGATGTGGCAGAGAGGACTCTGATATATGCCTATCATGTCACCATGGTTACTATTTGTTTATCCAGTCTTATTCAATCTACATTTCTGGACATAATGAAAACACATGAATGCCTTTACAAAAACTTGATAACCAGTAAAGAATATCAAAACACATTAGCATATCTTAATATCCAGCTGTCATTACATGGTCAAAGAAAAGAATAAAATGTGAACTTGACGTTTAGATGTCACTATGCTGTCAAATAAATAAATGTAAATACAATATATGCTTGTCATTTATTTCTTCCTCTTGCTTTGGGGATTTCCTCGCAGCAGAGACAGCACTTCATCGCCATGCAGGTTATTTTGATGAGTCACGAGCCACCACAAGCATCCAACCTTCAAGTCATGGATTGCTTCAGGGGAGTACTTAAGCATTGTGTAGCCGTCGTCACCATACTCAGTGTCGTCCCATGTTTGTAACCAGCTCAACACATGAACCCCACAAGAGTCCCTACAAAGGAAAAACAAGTATTTTAGTCAATAAACATTAGCTCCCAAAAGCTAAGACACAAGTACTTGTTGTGCAGAAAAATAACTCACGTGTCAGATTGCACATGAAGTTTTGCCCATGTGACTTCCTTGTCAATCTTGTCCTCCTCCGCAAACAGTGATGGCTTCAGCACACGAAGCACTTGGCAGAAACAATCTCCCTGCAAAAAAGGGACAAACAGAAGAAACAAGTTTGACAGTTGTGAATGACAAGTTATCAGGAAGCATTAACAACCTTCACAGTAGCCAATGACAAGTAATCAGTAGGCATTAACAACCAGGACAGTTAAGCAGACAAGCAACCATAACGCATTAACAAGTTATAGAATGAATGTAAAGTTGTGCATATAATCCCTCTTGCCATGAATTGCTTAGGATCTATCTGTCCTTTCTTTTTCCCTTGCTTCCTTTGTGGTTTCTTCCCTATTTTCATTGCTTCTTCTTCCTCTCTTTGTAATCTCAACATCGTCAAATTGTCCACCAAGGAGTCAAGGGCATAGAAACGCATGGTTCTTACATCTATCACATAACAGAACCAATGGTAATTGAAAAGTGTGGGGCCAAATATGAAGTCACAGTCTCCAATGTTATATCCTATGTGCTCCGGCAAGATTTCATGTTCATGTTTTTCCAGGCTCCACCTAAGAGGATTAGCGGCCATTGTTTGCATTAACTTAGGTGAAAAAATGTGCCTACTGTCACGACCGTGGTTCTCTTTTTCATCTCCCACCAAGGTTCTCGTCACCATAGACATGAATTATATCACAGATACAAACAGTTAGTCATGATCATAATGACATTGGCAGTTCTCTATCTATATAAACAACTGTCTTACCCTGTCGTTCATATATTTCCTGTCTTGTAGGCAGCAAAGCTCAACACGTGTCAAGAAGTACCCATACATCTCTACAATGTACTTGCAGCAAAAGGAACAATAAGCACAAGAGTTGTATGTGTAAAATTGTTGTCAGTCAGTTGTCCCAATTACAATCAGTCCCAACACTTACTTGGCACCTTCATCTTGATCACATCTTCTTGTGCACATCTGGAATAATTCCTCTTTCTCGTCAGGTTTTCTCTTGCCATGAGCTTTTTTCACCTCTTCTAACCAGGGAGATTTGATTGCACGGCTTCTCACCCGTGTTGATCTTCTTACATCCATTTGCTCTTATGCTTGCTGGTCCATTTCATCCTTTCCCTCCATATCATCGCCTACACCCTTATCCTCTTCTGCTATTGCATCACTAGACTTGTCTTCTGTTTTTTCTTCTCCATCATCCTCTGATCCAGAGTAACTCACTTCTCCTTTCTCCTCAGGTTGAGATTGACTCTCTTCTTAATGCAAAGCACTTTTGCCCTCTTCTTTATCATCTCTTTCTGGTTCACTCTGTTGTTCCTCTTGTGACAGAATTGAATCTTTTGGGCTTCCTTTACCTTCTTGACCGGTTTCTTCATCTTCAATTGCCTTTTCTTTCTCATCTTCGCTACTTACTGCTTCCACCACATCTTCCTTCTCAATCTCATCCGTTAACCTCAACTGCAGGGAAACCAACTCTTCTCCAATTGTCGACACCAACCCTTCAACCATGTCATCAATCTTTCATACGTTCTCTTGATTTCCTGCAAAACAACAGTAATGAAAGTTATCATTACTCCAAATTCTACACAGCGCCAAAATAAGCTTGACATGATTTACTTACAGGGTGGGTTAGCTTTATTTCTGTGTTGGATGCACTTGTTAAAGCCCCACCAACACTCGAAACGCCATGCAGTATGCCTCTGTCACTATTCTTTTCTGATTTCACTCTTGCCTTCACTTTTTCCTCATCCCAATAACTAATGGCATTTTCATTTTTTGCAGCCTTTTCTTTTCTGAGAGGAAAGTGTTGTAGGCAATAAATATGCATGTGAAGTAAATGATAACTTAGATATACAACAATAACAACATGCAGAGAGGCCACTAACAACATAAACAGCGGCTAATCACAACCTACACAGTGTCCAATAACAACATACACAGTAGCCAATCACAACCTACACATAAGCCTATCACAACCTACATTTGCACCATTCACAACATGTACAGCAACCAATGAAAACCCATACTCAATTGAATGACAACACGAACAGAATGCAATTACAACCTATACATAACCAGGTGACAAACCAACACAAGCTAATGACAACCTGCACACAGGACAATAATAACCTTCATACCAGTCAGTCACAACATATACATAACCAGTTCACAGCGTATATTTCTCCAATTGACTACATAGAGTAGTAAATAACAACATACACAGTGTCCAATCACAACGTACACATAAGCCTGTCACAACCTACATTTGCGCTATTCACAACGTGTACAGCAGCCAATGACAACCCATACTCAACCGAATGACAACACGAACAGAATGCAATTACAACCTATACATAACCAGGTGACAAACCAACACAGGCCAATGACAACCTGCACACAGGACAATAACAACCTTCACACTAGCTAGTCACAACATATACATGACCAGTTCACAGCGTACATTTCTCCAATTGACGACACAGAGTAGTAAATAACAACATACACAGTGTCCAATCACAACCTACACATAAGCCTGTCACAACCTACATTTGCGCTATTCACAACATGTACAACAGCTAATAACAACCCATACTCAACCGAATGACAACA